ATGGCAACACACGCCGAACTGATGAACGAGTTACCGCTACTGGAACGCATGTCGACAGCCGAGCGGATGAGGCTGGCGAAGAAGAGGCGGGCACAGCAGCTGCGAAAGTATCAACAACTTGACGCCAAGAGGGAAAAAGAGCAGCAACTTCTACAGCAACAAAACAACCCGACTGCAACAACGACAACAACGACAACCGGAAATAGTTCCAGTTTATTATTCACAACGACCACCAACAACACTTCCATATCGCAACAACTCGCGTTTCTCCAGCAACCTTTCATCGTCGTTCGGGATGATGACGATGACGTCAAAACAACAACAACAACATTAACAACAACAAAATCAAAGTCAACAAAATCGTCCACAAGATCGACAACAACTCCCGCCAAAACGACAACAACAACAACAGCGTCAGTTGATAAGAATGTTTCATTCGTTCCCAGTGTTGTCCTGCTCGAAGCGGGAAGTCGGAATGATGTTGAGGAAGGTTGGAGGGGGATTGTGAATGAATGAATGAATGATTGAAAAAATGATCAAATGAACGAACGAATAAATGAATGAACGAATGAACTAACGATTAAAGAATAACCATTAAAGAATAATACAATGACACATCCAATCATCAATTAATAGTTGAAAGATGGAATGAACACACAAAAATGAAACGAATGATTGAATGGCTGTGTGAGTAGAATAGACGAATTAATGAATGAACGAACAAATGAATGAACGAACAAACAAATGAATAAACGAACGAACGAACGAACGAACGAACGAATGAATAAACGATTGATTGAATGACGAATTTCAGTGGAGCAGCTATTGAAATCCGGTGTCAACCCAGACTTGAGGAACGATGACGGCTTGTCTGTCTTACACCAAGTTAGAATATTACAGAATTGTATATTTAAAATTATTAATATTTATAATTTTTATTACATATTTCTATATTCGTTGTTGTAAATAGCGAAATGTTTTTTAGTTTTTAGTACAACTGAAACATAAGTGCTGAAGGTGCGATCAAAAAAGCAAAGATAACAAAATCCTTTGCTACGGCACGCCTTCTAAAGAATTTTTAATAAGATTTTTTAAGCCAGTGAAGCGCTTTAATATTCTTTCAACTATTTATACGGTTATGACGAAATTTGTTGTCGTGGGAAAGTTATTAATAGCTGAAAAATCTGAAATCAAACCTCCTAGCCCATCCCCATGAATGCTACAACACCCAACACACACCAATGCAAGACATTACATTGCAATTTCCATTTCAATTTAAGACGAATTTTACCACCATCAACTTAATCATTGTCATCGTCGTCATAACCGCCTCATTTAAAGAAGCTTGTTGCCACATAACTCAGATTTATATTTCTCTATCTCAAGTTTTCCTAATTCTAAAGATTGTTGTTACCTATATAGACGTATATTTGTGTGTGTGTTTGTGTGTATTTAAGTGTGTGTAAATGTATGCGTGTATGTGTGTTTGCTTAGTCCATTCAAAAATAACATATCACATTAACATGAACGCCCAGTTCCAAACGTGTTAATAAAATTTTTTATTTCACTTCCTATGTGTGTGTGTGTGTGTGTGTGTGTGTGTGTATGTGTGTGGATGCATGTCTGTATGTATGCATGTCTGTATGTATGTATGCATTTATGTATGCATGTATGTATAAAAGCACACATTTATACGTATGTAGAGCTAGTTTCAGCAGAATCTCGTATTGATCGCTTCGTTGTTAGAAGCTCTTTTGTGCACAATATGAAGTATGTATGTATGTATGTGTGTATGTATGTGTGTATGTATGTAGTATGTATGTCTATATGTATGTATGTATATATGTATGGTATGTATGTATGTATCTTTAAATTTTTCAATTTTGAGAAACAAATAAAATTTCGTTTCGTTTCGTTTCGTATGTATGTATGTATGCATGTTTGTTTGTATCTGTATGCATGCATGTCTTGTTCGTTCGTATGAGGTTTCAACGACTCACGGAGCAGCGCATTATAATTTATAAATCTTTTATTGCCAGTGTGATTAATGATGGACGTTTCAATCTGAGTTCACTTTTCACGCCTTCTGTTTGGCGTCGACCGTGCTCTGATGAGTTTTTCTGGCTGTTTTTTGCATAAAAACAGCAACGTCAAAATTCGCACTGGTAGGAGAAATTTATCAAAAATCGATGGAGAAGAACAGAATTGGATAGGAGAATTATGCATTAATAGATTTATCTGATTGTAGATGTAGTATGAAGACGAAGGTGTCTTTCTGTGTGTGTGTGTGTGTGTGTGTGTGTGTGTGTGTGTGTGAATAAATTTGTTGCATGTAATTGAAAATGCATTCGATGCGTCGCATTCGTTCCATGTTGACTCCTTCCTCATTCTTCCCGATGTTTTCCGTTTGAGAAAAAAATATTTCCATCTAGAATTCACTTCTACTCATTCGAATGGATGATCTTGATGGTGCAGCTGATGATGATGATGTGGGATGATGGTGATGAGGATGTGTGATGATGATTGTGATGATGGTGATGATGATAGCGATATATTAACGTTAGTGAAGATGATGTGATGGTGTCATTGTAGCCATAAAAAGGACGATGACGATTTCTAGATGTGAAAAGATAACTTTGTTTACATGCGTGACTATTTCGCCAATGATAATAACATTAACAACTCCAACACTAATAATAATAATAAAAATAAAAACATTCTGTTTATTATTATTATTATTATTATTATTATTATTATGTATTGGACACGTGATTGGTTTTGTATGAATGTATCCACTCTTGCAAGCCATTCTCGTTAACGAAAGAAGTTATATAGCTTGTGAGTGTGACAGGTTTTGGCGACGATGATGATGACGATGATGATAATGATGTTATTGATGATGATGATGATGACGACGATAATGATGATGATGATGATGATGACAACAACTCCAATGCCTACTCGCAGTGTTGCATTGAGAACTGGAAAGACCTACTGAGCCTATTATTGGATGGTGGGGCAGACCCTGACGTAATGGACAACGAAGGCTGGACCCCCCTACACACGGCTGCCACCTGTGGGAGAGTGCAGATCTGTAAAATCTTGATCGACAGGTTTGCTGGTTGATTGACTGGCTATGTGATTTATTTTTCAACCAATCAACCAACCAACCAACCAACCATCCAACCAACCAACCAACCAACCAACCAACCAACCAACCAACCAACCAACCAACCAACCAACCAACCAACCAACCAACCAACCAACCAACCAACCAACCAACCAACCAACCAACCAATCAACCAACCAACCATCCAACCAACCAACCATCCAACCAACCAACCAACCAACCAGGGGTGCAGACTTGCTTGCAGTGAACGCCGATGGGAACATGGCTTACGACATCTGCCAGGACCAAGCAACATTAGACTTCATCGAACAACAAATGGCTGAAAAAGGTTATGATAAGGATGATGATGTTGTTGTTGTTGATGATGATGACGATGCTGTTAACAATTTCCCCAACCGTCATCATCACCATCATCACCACCGTCATCATCACCATCATCACCACCGTCATCATCACCATCATCACCACCGTAATCATCACCAGGAATCACACAGACGACGATAAATGAGAGACGAACTTTGAAGGAGAAGACATTCTTGAAGGACCTCGAGGAAATCTTCAATTCTGGCGGAGACCTGCATTACAAAGGGCAGAAAGGAGAAACTCCAGTTTGTTGTCTATGTTTTGTTGTCTATGGTTTGTTTTTTATGTTTTGTTGTCTATTTTTTGGTTTCTTTGCTGATTTTTCAATTGTTTTTATTTTGATGATTGTGTTGTTCTTTTTTACAACAACCATAAAAAATTAATAATAAAATGACAACAACAACAACCACACGCAGCTTCACATAGCAGCTTCCAACGGCTACTTATCTGTGGCCAAGTTTCTATTGGAGGGTGGAGCTGACGTGATGGCCACTGACGACGACTTATGGCAGCCCATACACTGCGCTACTTGCTGGGACCAGGTTGTTGTTGTTGTTGTTGTTATTGTTGTTATTGTTTTTGTTGTTGTTATTATTATTATATTATTATTAATATTTTTATAATTTGGCAGCCTCAAATGCTGGAGTTGTTGGTGGAACATGGCGCGAGTTTGGATGTGAAGACGAAAAATGGAGAAACGCCATTGGGTTGGTTGAATGTTTGATTGATTAGTTATTTTGTCGATTGATTGGATGGGTAGTTGATTGCTTATTGGTTGATTGGTAGAATGGTTGGTCGGGTCGTTGGTTGATTGGTTGGTTGGTTAGACCCTAACTCTAACCCTCTCACCACACCACACCTTTCTCTCACAACACCACAACACACCACACCACACCAACCACACCAAACCACACCAAACACACTAAACCACACCACACCAACCACATCACACCACACCAGCCACACCACACCACACCACACCAACCACAACACACCAACCACAACACATTAACCACACCACACCACACCAACCACACCACACTACACCACACCAACCACACCACATCACACCACACCACACCAGCCATACCACACCACACCAACCACACCACGCCACACCACACCGCACCACACCACGCTACACCAACCACACCAACCACACCGCACCAAACCGCACCACAGACATCTGCGAAGATTTGGAAATGCGCCAAAGAATCCTGCAACTTCAAAAAGACAAAAAGTTGAAATCTTCAACGGGCAAGGGTGCACAGACGACCAACTTCTGCAAGACTGTGGCCAACCAGGGCAGGCGGGGAAGCATAACAAATACCAGGAGGTTCTTCTTCTTCTTCTTCTTCTTCAATGCAAACACGCACACTAACAGATACAACAACACACACACACCAACACACACACACACAACAGCACACACACCAACAACTCACACACAAAGCACACACACAACAGCACACACACCAACACATGCACGAAGTAACACAACTCTACAAACGCGTAACAGCGCATCTGTACGTCGGTCGAGTACCTCACAGAAGAAATCTCTGGCCTTGAAAGAGGCAAAGGAGGAGGCCATGAGGCTGAAGATGGAGGGCAAGAATATCGACGGACCAATCAAAGATGAGGTGGTTAGGGCGATGGTGGTGGTGGTGGTGGTTGTGACGGTGTTTTTGATTGCGTTGTTGCTAAAGATGATATGGTGAAGATTAGTAAAATAAAAAATTAATAAACCAACCGACCAACCGACCAATCAAACAATCACAGAAAATGAAATCGAAACCAGGCTCCATGTTCAAACTCAAATCAAAAAGTAAGAAAATTTCAAAAAACGCGCCTAAAATAAACATCAACATGGACGACATTGCTGACCTCCCAAAGGTTTATTCTGACGTCATATTTAACCAACAACAACGGCAACAACTCTTAGCTTCAACGTCATCACAGCAACAGCAGCAGGGCGCGTATGAAAGTATGAACATTGATAAAAACTCGCTTCGGTATAGAAAGTCGGATAATTATTCGCTGGGCGAGAACCAAAAGTTTGTGAAAAATTCGCCAAATAAGGAAAGCAAACACAAGTCGGATAGTTCGAAACAACAGTGCTGCTCGATTGTCTGATATGTATGTGTGTGTATGCGCGCGCGCGTGTGCGTGTGTGCGTGTGCGTGTATGCGTGTGCGCGCGCGTTAAGATACATTTTAATTTCTGAATAATTTTGTATGTCGATTTCAAACGGAAATGACAGCAACTAAATGAACAGTGTACAAACAAACTTATACATACATACATACAAACAAAAAAAACAAACATACATACATACATACATACATACATACATACATACATACATACATACATACATACATACATACATACAAACAGACATATACATACAAACAAACAAGCATGCATTCATATATAAACTTACATACATTCATACATACAAACAGACATATACATACATGCAAACACACACGCACACATACATACATGCAAACACGACGATGCAATACAATATAATCATTGTGGTTTATCTCATATTGCTTTCATTATTTTTGTTATTTGTCATTAATATATTAATTTTATTATCTATCTTCATTAGTTTATTTATATAAAATGAATAACTGAAAATAATTCTGTCAGAAGAGAGTACAATGAAATTATTGTTTGGATCCGTCGAAGGCATTTCAAATGTTTTGCTGTTCTTTTGTTTCTAAAATATCAGTTTTGACTTGAAAAATCCTCCCAAAAATTGTCGTTTCATTCATAAATTTTACTTTGTTCTTTCGTTCGTTGATTCATTCATTCATTCATTCAATCATTCAGACCTTTCGTTCGTTTATTCATTTTTTCTTAGTTCATTCACTCATTCGTTCATTGGATGAATGAATTTTAACCAAACCATTCAGTTTACAAATCTACAAATCTTAAATGGATCGATGGTCTAATTAATTGATTCATTAATTAACCGACCGATTAATTAAATACATACGTGATATATTTTTTCTATTCGTTCATCAACCTGTCAATCAACTGTGTGATCGTATAGCCATTAGAGACTTCATAACCCCCGTGCATGATACTAAACAGTCAACTCTCTCTCTCTCTCTCTCTCTCTCTCTCTCTCTTCCTCTTTTTCTTTCAATCTTATATTTATCTTTTTCTTCCTCATTTCCTCTATCTGTATATATATATATATATATATATATAAATATATATATATATGTAATATATTAAAACTGATGTACATATGTTTGTTTTCTTCACTTGTCAAAACGTATATATATATATATATATATATATATATATATATATATACACGTTTATATTATATATATATATATATATGTATACACGTTTATATTGTATATATACATGTGTGCATGTAAGCATGTAAGCATGTATGTATGTGGGTTGGTTTTTGCATGTCTGTGTGTGTGTGTGTGTGTGTGTGTGTGTGTGTGTGTGTGTGTGTGTGTCTAGTTCTCTGTTTTATTTTTATGAAGCGATATTTCATACTTGTTAGTTTACTGAGCGTTTTAGCAATAACAAACAACTACAACACCATCAACAACATCAACAGCATTAACAATACAGACATTCTTAACATCAAAAACATCAAAAACATTAGCAATAATGACAGTGATAGCATCAAAAACATCAACATTAATGACACCATCAGAATAGTACGGCACATCGCCACATTTTTGTGCTATCTAAATGTGAAAACACAAACATGCGTACGAACAAGAATACACTCACATATATACACACACATATAGATACAGCTCATAAAAAAATACACACATATACCCAAATACTGACTAATAAACAGCTATGTTAGTACGGTACTGTTTTCAAAATATTGCTCTGGATATTTATTTTCAGATTAATTTTGAAATCAAACATAATAGCGATTTTTTAAGAAACGTTTAAATGGACGAAAATAAATATATTATTATTATTATTATTTTTATTTGTTCTTGCCAAAAATTTTTTTAATTTTTGTGCAAAATTTTTTAGTCGTTTTAAAATACTACCACTACTACTACTACTACTACCTCCTCCTCCTTCTCCTACAACAACAACAACAACAACAACAACACTACTACTACTACTACTACTACTACTACTACTACTACTACTACTACTACTACTACTACTACTACTACTACTAGTAATAGTGAAAGTATAATTTATTTTGCTATATTATTAACGCTAGCATCACAACTATATTAATATTTAAATTACATACAATATTTAAATTAATTATTATTTAAATTATTTATATATGCGCTTGTATATGTGCATATATGTATACAATGAATAATGGTTAGAAAAAATGAATGAATGAATAACAAATTAATTAATTCTCTTTCGTAACAATTGGAGCAGTTTAAAATACTCCAACCACGCAAGTCAAAAAATACAAATGATCAGCCAAAGCGAATAAAAATTATTATGTTGAGTATTGTACGTGGAATTATTTCAATTTATTTTTGGTTGGAATAAAATAAACACGTAGAAAGAAAGAATAAAATTTCAACGTTAATGACTGAGTTAGCGAGATGCGGCCAACCATTGTAGGAATTTTTACAGCAGTCTGAATATCTTTTCAATTAATTTTTAACGATACGTTCCGCGAAATAATTTGTGACAGAAATTTTTTTTATAAGAACGAATTCTTAAAGTCACATACGACTCAAATGAGATTTTCAGGACTTTGATGTATATTTTCCTGAAAAGTTTTCATCAAATTTTATAAAGGAAATAACTTCTTATAAGGCAGCATAATGTCAAAAATTATATGCCCGTTGTTGTTGGTGGCGGTTGTCATCAAGTTCGCTGCTATAGTGGAGGCAGGTTGGTCAAAAAGTTATGCGATCCACAATTTTTAAAAATGGTTTTCCATTCAGAGTTTTATAACTCGACAAAATTTTATTAGCAATAGATGAAATACTAACAAACAATTCCCTTCTCAAGTAGCCGTGAACATAGCACAAGGGAAGACGGCATGGTCGGATTCAGAGGGATGCCCTTGTTGTGCACCCACCCTAGCGACAGATGGAATATTAGGTGGTAACATGTGCAAGTGTTTCAGCAACAACAAGGCCCGTGGCTGGCTGCAGGTTGACCTGGCTGCACCATTCAACATCGACTACATGACCGTATATCCAGATGCCGCTTGGTGTCAGTTCGGAGATTTTTTTTCAATTTTTTTAATTCGACCCTGTAAAATACATATTAATTTCACACCTGCCCACTTATCCACCAGACTCGCACATGGACCAGTTCATTTCGGGAGGTTCCAACCTCCTGACAGCCCGTCAGAAAGGCACCTACTACGTCTGCAACCAGTGCGAGTACAACTACGCCCTGGCCTGGGACACTTGTACAACCAAATGTAGCGCTAACATTCCCGCCGTCAGGTACGTCGTATTGCAACAAAAATCCGACCTGGATACTGGCCTGAGTGCCTGCGAACTGCTCGTTTATGCCGCCCCCGACCCAAGTGGGAAATTTAAAATTTTCACGTTTTGTTTGAAACTTTGGGGAATTTTAAAAATAAATATCATTATGACGCAAGATTGATCAAATTGATAAAATAATTAAACCACTGCATGCCCGAAATAACACAGAGAAGACGAAATGGACGAGGTTTTCAAATCGGCGCCTGTTGGCAGCATCTGCTTCCTCCTTCAATAAAAGTTCGACGGTCAGCTGCCTGTACAAATGCATCCAACTCTCCTGCGATTCAGTCAACTACAACAAGCTGCTGAAGACGTGCGAGGTCCTCAAACACCCCTTTGGGGTACTCACTGGCAACATCCCTGCCCCCAGTCCTGGCTGGGACCATTGGAAACTCTTCTACGCTTGACGATGTTGCATTTCAATTGATGATATTTTTTTTGCCGTAGCTCAATCGATTCATTTAGAGACTGTAAAAACTATCACCGCGAGCTTTTACTTCCATATTATTTTCTCATTTAAACATTCCACACTTTTTTGATCAAAATGTGCTGTCAAGGCGAACAATTTTAAAAGTATGTGTGCCTGCATGATGGTAATTTCATCAACAAAATTTTGTGATTTTTTTTTCATAACTTTTCAATTGCTTTTTAATTCATTATTTCATCAATAAATTAACAAACAACTGAATAAACGAATGAATAGGGATAAACATTCATAATTTTTTTTATAAAAAAATTTGAACGTAACGCTAACAAAACACAAAACGTAACCAGCAACATTTTAACTCTGTGTGATATTCAACTACCACAATCCTTTTTTTTACAGAATGCTTATTTTCAGTGAGTTTTTCAAGTAAAAAAACCACATGTGCTTTCGTATGTGTGCTTTTTATCATACACAAACAATAAATATACATAAATATGTAATATATTATATATATATATATTATACGTAATAGTTTATTCTTAACGCCAAAATCATTTTTCCTATTCTCAGTTTCAATAATTCAAAATCCAAAGC